ATAGAAACCCGGATATAAGAGATTTTTCTCTGGTCCCAAATTAGAGCCATATAGACTTACCCGGAAACAAAATAAATTAGACCAAACCCAATATATAAACCCGGATATAAGAAAACCCCCGGATATAAGATACGTCTTCTCCGGTCCCGAAACAGCTCTATAAGAGAAACTTAAGAGAAACCCGGATATATCCGGGTTAAGAGAAACCCAGATATCGTCCCATATTAAACAATATAGACTAAACACTATAAGAAGAGGTCCCATTACCCATACTTACTAAACAATATAGAGAGGATATAAGAGTATCGAATGAACTACGCTCAATCTATTAACTGTTATATTTAAATTAGCGTACCCCAATATAGACCCCGCCACGAAACCTGATATAAGGAAACCCCAGATATAGAGAGATTTTCCGTCCCAAATTAGGCTCGACCAAACATATAAGCCTTTTTTCTCTGAACCCGCCTAAAACGGGTTCGAGGGATATAAGAGATTTTCTACCTCCATCGGACCTAAACTTTAGACTAAACCCGCATATAAGAGAAACCCGGATTATAAGTCCCGGATATAAGAGAGTTTTCTCTAGTCCCAAATTAGAGCCCATAGAGAAACAATATAGACTAAACCCGGATTGGACAGTTTTCTCTAGAACAATCTATTCACTGTTATATTTAACAGGTCCCAAATTAGAGCCAATCCCTAAACAATATAGACTAAACCCGGATATAAGAGAAACCGGATATAAGAGAGATTTTCTCTGGTCCCAAGGCCGCGTTTATAGACTAAACCCGGATATATTAGAGAAACCCGGATATAAGAGAGATTTCAGTCCCAAATTAGAGCCCCCATATAGACTAAACCCGGATATAAGAGCTCGAGCTCTGGTCCCAAATTATTCCCATTTGAACCCGCCTAAACCCGGTTAAGGGATATAAGAGAGATTTTCTAGTCCCAAATTACCCCCCTTACCCCCCGGATATAAGAAAACTTTGCCCTTCCCAAATTAGAGCCCATACTTACCTCGCCCAGACTCCCGGATATAAGAGAAACCCGGATATAAGAGAGGCATAGGTCCCAAATTAGCGCCCATACTTACCTAAACAAAATAGAACAACCCGGATCTATTTCTCCGGTCCCGACAGCTCTTCATTGTTACTTCTCTCCTACTAAATTTAATGAACTAGCGCTCAATCTATTAACTGGACCCACCCCGGAAGATGTATAACATAGAATCTTTAACCCGCCTAAACGGGTTCAGGACACCACCGCAGCAAAGCTATCTAAACCTTGGACAGTTGAACAATCTATTCTATCTTTAACATCTATTTCACCGCAAGTCTGTTCTTTTTTGAACCCGCCTATCTATCTATCTATCTACCTATCAATCATTCTATATATAAATATATATATATATATAAACTATCTATCTATCTATGTGTGTGTGTTTGTGTCTATCTATATATATATATATATATATATATATATATATATATATATATATATATATATATATATATAAAAATTAACTGATTTAAAATATGGTTTTTTCCCTTTACACAGTTCTAACAATGTTTCAAAATGGAAGCTAAAAGCCACGAATTTAATTTTGCAATTAAATTAAAGACATTACTTCCATTTAATCCTCAAGTGAAATATTAATGCTCTGTAAATTTACATTCAGCACTATTTTGTAAAAATAAAAAATATCTATAAGAACACCGGATTATATATCTTACTGTTCTTTCTTTTTATTAAATATATATATATATATATATATATATATATATATATATATATATATATATTCTACACAAAACCTTCACCACTATAATCAAATCAAATTTGTAGTTGTCTGGCTGTCGGTTCCTAGAAACTGAGCAGCTTGACACTCATACGTTGAATTCGATAGGAGAGTCTACCATGACTCCCGTTGCTGTGTCCGCCTGCACACCCTAATATGAATTCCATGGACATAATGAAAAGAAGTGTTGAAATCACGCATCCCATCATGTTCCCTCCCACGAGGTCATCTAACTTGGGGGTTTAGTTACCAACATAAACACTACATAAAGACTGTCCTGGTATACAGGATGTTCATAAAGTTGGCGTGCATTTAAAAATTTATAACTGTATTTGTATTTGTGATAGAAATAATCTGTAAAAAATGTTATAAAGTTTAATGTGCCTAGTTTTAAAATTTGCTAAAATAACTAATGTGATTTCAGGCATTACTGTAAATCAGTTGGCAAATCTTTTCCGTGAACTGAAAAATCGTATTACCCTTTGTATTACTAATGATGGAGGACATGTGGAAACTTAAATAAAATTCTCAATAAAACTTTAAAAGGTATAGATTTCTTTCTTTCTAATCCTTTTTACAAATTATTTCTATCTCAAATACAAATAAATTTTTTAAAGTGCATATGAACTCTATGGACACATGGACACACTGTATATATATATATATATATATATATATATATATATATATATATATATATATGCTTATATGACAGTGTGGCTTTGTCGCCGCACCAAGGCTGGGCTAGTAAGACACTTACGAAAGAACAAATAGCATGCACAAGTGTAAAACAAAAACAACATCCAATGCTGACCCTCACTTATCGTTCACGATAACAGACTCTCCTGTATATGTATGTATAAAAATAGTGTGGTTGATGCATTCAGATCCGCCCTACGATTACAAAATTCAAGGGGATAATCATGATTTATCTATCTATCTATCTATCTATCTATCTTGCTCTAGCCGTTACCATAGTAATTTTAATTTTAATAATGCATATGCTTATAAAACGCGTAAGTTTCAGGAATTAGTTATTTCAAAAAAATTTCGCATGAAGATGGAACAGAGCTTAGTGCTTTAATTAAATCTAATTCAAATAATTATATTGAAGTTTTCAGTTATTGTTTTGAAACATGAGAACTCTTATGTAGCGACGGAATCATATTTTTTAAATAAATAATTATATTTATGCTCTACTTTTGTATCGAGCACGATTTTTTAAAAATAATACCAAAAATACTAAAGAACTTTGGATTATTTACCTAACGAGTTCTTTCCTATTTTCTATATATTTTTACACACACACACACACACACACACACACATATATATATATATATATATATATATATATATATATATATATATATAGATTACGATATACATTTTAATATATCATGAACAATTCTGAGGAGATTTTAAGGCAAAATGGAAAAAAAAAAGTTATTTGTGGAGTTTCATCAATTAGGTCGGACTTGGTTTGTTGCCATTATTGTAACTTCCACATGCACGTGAACTAGAAATTCTAATAGTTTCAAATTTTATTAACTAATTTTTTATCAATCTAGGGAAATTTATTTTATCAATCTAGGGAAATTTATTTTATCAATCTAGGGAAATTTATTTTATCAATCTAGGGAAATTTATTTTATCAATCTAGGGAAATTTATTTTATCAATCAGGGGAAATTCATCTATATTCTTTTTTTTCTTTTTCTTTCCATCATCTTTGTTATTTTTAAATATCCCACATTATGAAAGAAAATCTGCCAAGGATGCTGAAAAGTTATAAGAACCTTGACATAAATTCACTGTGGCTGAAATAACGATTAAAGCAATTTCTAGACATTTTCGATTCAGTGAATTATTTTCTCTTATAATTAGAGTTGCATTTTTTATGTCAAAATAGTCGTCAGTTTCTTTACGGCAAATAACCAATGTATTTTGTGTGGTGCATTTTTTTTTAAATGTCACTTCTGTTCATATAGTCTTTTGTTTGAACTTCTTGAGGTTTCTTGTTGAGGGGTCCACACCTTTTTATACAAATGAACTCACCCAGTATATATATATATATATATATATATATATATATATATATATACACCACTGCAAGAGCGAGACGAGAGTAAGACGAGAGCAAGACCGAAGAGTCGAGTCCAGAGTGACAGAGTAAAAGGTTGTAGGTAACCGGAAGAGTGAGGGGTGAGGTAACAGTGTTGTAGGAGTCACAGTGAGCGAGCACGTAGCCTCAGTAAGAAGTCATACAGCGATACTTCAATACCAAAGACTGTATATATATTTTGCTACTAACCCGTATTCCTGGAACTACTAACCTGCATTACTAGTTTCTATTATTACGTTAATACATTATTTTCCTATATTCCTACAGGCATTAAGAAACTCATCCCCCAACAAAAATATCATCATAACCAGATCCGTCAAAGGATATGGAATAGATATAATGGACATGAACGTCTACATTGAAATATTAGAACCCCTCCTAGATAAGGACAATGTCTATGCAAAACCAATGAACACGCAGTAAACACAGGCAGACAGATCTTCAACAAAATTGTTAAGAAACTATTTAAAAACAGAAAACAAATCCTGCACCATATTAAGAGAATATCACCTCAACACACACACACTATACAGCTTAACCATCAGACCCATTGTGTATTTTTACCCATAAATGTATGTTGCCTAAAAAAGTTATTTTATCATATATATATATATATATATATATATATATGTGTGCGTGTGTATGTGTGAGTGTGTGTGTGTGTGTGTGTGCTTGCGTGTGTGTCTCTGTGTGTGTGGGGTGTTTGTGTATGTGAAAGAAAGAGTGTTTGGGTGTATGTTTACAGGCATTAGTTAATTTAATCATTTAATCACACATGCATAAGTATATATATATATATATATATATATATATATATATATATATATATATATATATATATATATGTGTGTGTGTGTGTGTGAAAAGTGTGTATATAAAATAAATACATATATATATATATATATATATATATATATATATATATATATATATATATATATATTATTTATATATTATATGCGCTCATATTAGAAAGCGTTCAATAAATATCAGAGATAGAGCTAGCATATTTCGTCGGATTGATGTGAGCTTGTGACACTGGGTTTCACGCATTTGCTATCGTCAAACAAACTGTATATATATATATATATATAGAGAGAGAGAGAGATAGATAGATAGATAGATAGATAGATAGATAGATAGATATAGTTATATGTATGTATATGGATATATATAATTAGATAGATAGATAGATAGATAGATAGATAGATAGATAGCTCATATATAGAAAACGTTATTTGGTTATGGGTGAAGGGATGAATGAGTGAGTAATTGAACGTATACAATTGTGAAAAAATATATCGTTTTCTAAGACGTTCAAATAAAATCAAATTGATGACTTAATATTTCGAATTGCTGCAGTAAATGAAACATGAATTTTTTTATATGAATTTAATAACAACTTGTCTGTCTGCGTTTGAAAATGATTTTACAAACTTTGATATGCCTGCCAATAACATATTTTTTCTTATGCCTCACGAATAGGAAGTAAAATTAAATAAGTGACCAAATGAATCAATGAATAAATTTACAGACTCACAAAGACACACAAAAATAT